ATCTAATATGGCGGGCAGTAGTTATTTGAGTTTCCCGCTTTCTGAGGGTAAAAGTTGATGAAAAATGGCTTTCTCTTGGGGTTAATTCTGTAGGGTTACTGCATTTCTACGAGTGTACTTTCCCATACAATTTAAGCGTACTTAAAGTTTAGGATTTTATACTAAATAAATAACCGATTTTCCAAATTCCGTTTCAGCTGAATTGTCCTTCTCGACCGCCCGCTACTTCTTGTGACATATTGTGTCCACAACCCTGCGTCTATTGTGCGAAGCCAGTTATTGAGTGTCCACCTCCCTCAGCGAAGTGATGTACCCTAACCTGGAATTTTTTGTACGGATCCCTTGTGAAGTGGTGACGTTAATGGGGCAGACGTGTCCTTCAGGATATATGGATTGCGGCGGCGGCGATGCAACGAAACTCAGCGGGAGGGAGAGCCCAGTTGGTACAGTTTTTGGTACAACAAGTGGGAGACGACAAATGTCTCTGAAAAGAAACAATTGTTGTGTCGAGTGAGCCAGTAAGAAATTTTATATTTGCTGGTATGAATTTATCATGTGGTTAAATTAATGTTCACAATTTTTTATTAAATTATGTATCCATGTGATAAAATTTTGCAAATAATAGTTTTCATAATTAAACATTCATAAACATTCATAAACGTATCTACATGAAAACTTATGAAAGTCAGCATAAATACAGCCCAGCACACGTAAAAACCTAGCCTAGTTTTGGGTATCGACCCCAAACTCGTTGGACACCTCGCACTATGGCACGGAGGAGCCAGATAGTGGCAGAAAATCGATAACCTCCTTAAAATAAAGGTAACCCCGACATGAGATACACCATTTTTTTCAGTCTGACGAGAAGAATTATATGGACATATTTAAATTTAAAAACCACACCCCAAGGGGGTGGTACCTGGCGCCTATTCTAAATAAAATACACCCTGGCATGCGACGTATCATTTTTCTCAGGCTGACGTAAAAAATGTCATAAATTCATCCAAATTATAAGGCCGCACCCACTGGGGGTGTGGTTTATGGCGCCTATTTTAAGTAAAACAAGCCATGGCATGTGACATCATTTTTCTCAGGATGACGAAAGGAATCCCGTATATCCGTCCAAAATCTAAGGCCGCACCCACTGGGGGTGTGGCTTGTGGCGCCTATTTTAAATATGTCGTATGTTGTTTGTCGTATATTCTAGTCCGCTTGCTAGAATAGGTGTGAACCACGCCAACTAGGGAGTGCTAGGTAACCGTTTACCAGTTTTTAAATGACCAGGGTGGTGTTGCACTCATCTGCCTAAGAATTAAATTTTCCATTAAGAACCATTAATTTTTTAAATAATTGAATCAATTTCCCTGCTTGCATTGAATCTTTGTATATTTAAATTTGCACTTAAATTTAACGAGGTGAACACAGTCACCATTTTCGACCATTGACCTTATAAATCAATGCTATATAGGTATTGTCATAAATGTCATGTCGATTGTGTTATTTGGGTTACTCCACGAGTTATGGTAATGGACCTGATTTCGAAAATCGATTTTCTTGACATCCTTGCATATGTGTTAAGGGACCTTAGCATATGGAGGAAAATCATTATCCCCAAATTTTTAAAATTTCGTGGTAGGAGGGGAAGTGGCTTTTATAGAGATCCCACTTTTACGCAGCCGCTATTGGATCTACGAGCTCCAAATTTCACATGAACATACCTAGGGGCAATACAAAAGCGGATCTTTTTCTCTTTTTTCGAAATTAGGTCATGGTGACCGGTTTCAGGTCAAAATACGCAGTGTCCCAATTTTTTTAATAGTCTCACATAGCCCCATAAGTGGGGCATCGTTAGAAAGGTCTCGGCAAGGGGTTTCAGAATATGTATACTTTCTGGGGTCTGGGACCACCCCCTGAAAAGTTTGAGAAGGAGAAATGAGAATTAGCAATTTTCCAGAATTTAACACAGCAGTAGTTGGGGAGCTCATATTGCAATACATGCACATAAACTCAAAAACATTCTTCTGCCTCTGGAACATCAGAGGGTGGTCCCAGACCCCACAACGTATATATATTATGAATCCTCACGTCAATACCTTTTCAACGATGCCCCACTTATGGGGTTATGTGAGACATTAATTTTTCAGAAAAATTTTACATACTGCGCAGTTTGACCTGAAAACGGTCACCATGACCTAATTTCGAAAATAGACAGAAAGTCCCGCTTTTGTATTTACCCAAGGTATGTTCATGTGAAATTTGGAGCCTGTAGGTACAATAGTGGTTGAGTAAAAGTGGGATCTCTGTAATAGGCACCCCCCCTCCTACCACGCCCCACGAAATTTTAAAAATTCGGGGATGGCGATTTTTCTCCATAGTCTAAGGTCCCTTAACACATACTTCAAGGATTTCAAGAAAATCGATTTTCGACATCAGGTCCATTACCAGAACTCGTGGAGTAACCCATATGTCATATTTGTCGTATTTGTCAGACATTTATCGATTATGTCAATGTCAGACATTTATGACAAATATGATACGACATGAACAATATAACATGACACGACATTTACTTCTTGACATTGTAGAACTCTACTCCAGATTCGAGCTCATATTTGACAGAATTTCCAGCGCGTGGTTTTGTGGTCTAGTGGGTGTGGTCATATTTATATTAGATTAAATTTCAAATAAACCCAATAAGTAAGGTTAACTAATTACTATTTTGCAGCCTAGTTATGATTGGGGCCTGGTAGAATTTTAAAGTAACCCTATTTGTCAAATTCCAGACAATTAGACTACCAAGATTTGAACGATTGGTATGAGAGTGCAGAAAGGATATCGCAGAAGATCGCAAGGCAAATGTTAGTACTGGGCATGGACTATAAGATAATATGCCCAGTTTCAAATTCAGGCTTGTTATGGCTTGTTATGGGGTGATGAAGGTTCCCTCCATTCACCTCCGTGTTAAATTCGATTTTCAAATCGCGCTATACTAGCCCCACGTGATCCAAATCAGCCTACATTATACATACAATTCCGGCAACCGATAAGGTGTCAAATGACACACAAAACTAAGAAAAAGTAAAATAATTTGTTTTTTGAATTTCTGCCAAAAATTGCCTTGCCCGTGCCATAGTGCGGTCGGTATGGGGGGCATCATTGCGGCAGAAACGGTTTCACTCTATATCTTGATAACTTAGAAAGACCGAGTCCCTTTCATAATTCTAATCTTGTTCTTAATCGTCGCTCTGGATATGTTTGTGTTTATTCAAATCGGCTGCAAAATTTTGGCCAAGCCGTACTCTAAATCTTGCAGGTTTATTTAATTTGTGAAAATCAGGAATTGTTCGAAGTGAGAGGCTTCATACGGTCGTGTCAACCATCCAAATTGTCGCTGGGAAATGGGGGATTTTTAGATAGGTTTACATCTTTCGTTGTGTGGCAAAATTGTATCGATTTATTAATTACGCTCCTGCTCCTGTAAATGGGATGATTAGAAAATTCTGGATATTTGTAGGGGTGGGTTAACCTAACCTAACCAACCTTTTTAGGAATTAGTTATCTATTAGTTAACTATTATATACAATAAGTAATCCTTATTTATACCAAAAAGTATGCTCATTACGGTATGTAAATATGAATTATGTAAACATGTTCTTCACGTTTATGAGGTGACACCTATTACTGGCGAAACTTGGCGTTGTCGACATTATGTCGAAAAACGTCGCCATTGCTGTATTTCGCCAGTTTTCGGTCGATTTGCGTCAAATTTTGAGAAAACATATTTTTGGGCGTTGTCGACATGTCATAGTACTACAATATGGTAAATTAAAGATAAATATTTTATGATTAACTAATACATATGTAGGCATTATTATAATATGGCTCGGTGAATTATTTGCTTTTCTGAATTATTTTGTGGGGCATTCTCGGGATTTTTTTACTACTTAGGTACTGTGCTTTGCCGCATTTTATTTAAGCGTATTATTAAGAACGGAAATGTGCACTTGTTCGAATTTCTGAACAAGACCGAGTCCTTTGCATAAATAAAGTTACGCCTTTAGTCTTTCATGGGATTATAGTGTTGCTTAAGGGTCGTCATGAATACTAGACAAGGTCTAACCTCTTTATTAATGTATAAAATTCATGCCTTGTTTAACATAGCTTGAATTCGCATGTAGCTGGTGAATCATTTAATGATTCGCATTATGAATTTAACACCTCCTTGGTCGACAACAATTTTATTTTAAAATACGAGTTTAGTTAATTAATATTAATTCATGACTGAATATTTTAATACTCACTCACGAAATCCAATCGTTAGAATCGTAAAAACAGTTCGATTTGTTGCCACACAGGTGGATTCTGTAATTAAACAGGCTCATTTATTTATTTTTTAAGGTCTGTTTATATTAGTTTATTTCAGACTTGCACCATTGTTCCGCATCCTAAGAAACATACTATACTTACCACTATCCAAAATAAAAACAAATAAAATAAAATAATAAAATAGATCCTCACAAGAGTCAAATGTGTAACCTTTAAATACGCGTCAAATGATTAAACATAATTTGCTGCACATAAAATCATACATAAATATTTAGCTGCATGGAGCCGTACCAATAATTAATGCCACACCGTTGCATACGTAACCTTGATCGATGCTGGTTGCTTAATTGCGTTGTAATGCAATTACGTAACCAGTATCGCTACCTAAAGCGAAAACAACATTAAAGGATAAGTATGTGCATGTGGCACAATAAAAGTGCCAAATGATTCCCACTCATGATGATGATGATGATGGGTGCATGCATATTACCAAAAATACCATTCAAGGATGCCTGCATGTGCAGTTTCAGTATCCAAAAAGTGCCAAATGATCCCAATCAACACGTAAATAAAATTACTTTACATGGTGACTGGAAATACATACATACATTAATCCGTACGTAGTATGGAATTGGACATATACATATATATCTATCGGAGAGTCATGTTGAATTATGCTCTTGAGGGAGATTACACGCCAATAAAAGCAGAATTTTCCTCCTTCATCGCGACAGTTGGTGAGACAGAGGAGGAAAAGTAATCTTTATTATTTACGTATTGTGATCTGCAAATATTTTATTGGGAAAAAAATCTGCAAATAAAAATTTTGGTATGGTTTCTTCCGTCGAAGTCACTCTCGGAGTCGTGCTCGTTGCCCTGGTTTATTTCGTCTTTGTGAGAAAGCCAAGGTGGAAAAATGCTCCGCCAGGTATGCAAATAAATATACAGATATCGTTACCAGTGGCCGCGGAAGTGGTGGTGATATTTACATTGTGGGATAGGGGACGGTAGGGTTTGTATAACATGGGGAGATGATATGGACATTAAGTAAGAGCGGGGACATTGTCCCACGCTTTTCCGGTCACCATTTGTGACAAATTTTGAATGTATTTATAATAATTACATGGCTGCAAACGAAATGTAGCAATGGGGTAAAACCAAATGGGAGACCAGTCCACGCGGTCACAGGGTCATACCTAGGTAGTACGACAACACAATGTCGATTTTTGAAATCCCCACCATAAAATACGGCTAATATGGCTGAAACAAAAAATTAACATTTTTGACCATTGGCGTCATCAACGTGGCGGCGTGACCTATTACGCCCATCTTCCAACCTGTCCGTGCTTTTAAAATTAGAAACACGATGGCAAAAACCGCATGCCGAAATTCGATTCCGTTCTAAAGTTAGGACAGATAGACGGATGGAAAAGAGGTTCACCCTATAATAAATATGAATCTTAATGTTTGTAACAGGTCCCCGAGGATTACCACTGCTTGGAAATATATTTCAAATAGTAAGTAAATTCAAAATTGGAAAAACAACATCACACAAATATTTACTGTTGCTCGCGGCGTATTTTTTTCTCAAGAGACAAACCGAACTAATAATAGCTACGTACATACATAGATATTTTAGGGGTTAACGAATACATATTTTTTTACATATTTAAACCTAATTTGTAACTATACATTTTTTTACAACTGATAGTTTCCTCCTAAAAATGATTTTATTAAATACTTTAAATGTTTCATAAAAAAAATATTTCGAGAAATCTTTCAAAAAAGGTTTTGCTCCCAGCAACAGTCCATCAATGAACTAAACACTCTTAGAAATCTAGTTGCGATTACCAACCAGAAAATGGACGTGTATTTAAATCTACAATGCGACGATGTAAAGTGTAAAACTCGGATTTCTTGAAATTTTGAAATTATTTATGTCGTTCAAGTCAATACAACCAACGTTTATTTATGCGAAGGCGGGAATTTGTCCAAATATTTTAGGTTAAATTTGAAAAAAACGGGCGAAACGTTGGTTGTACTGACTTGAACGACGATATTTGTAACGACGAGTTTTGTAACCAGTTGTTGGCCAATTTATAAAAAAATTGCTTATTTTTTCTAGAAACTTTAGCAACAATTGCATCAAATAAAATTTCTACAAAAATTTTAAATTGCACCGACAGGAAAAATTCCAGCACGTCACCTTCACCAAGTGGGCAAAGGAGTACGGACCCTTGTACAAAGTGAATATCGCCTCGTTAAAGTAAATCTCATAATTATTTCACGAAAAAAAAATCCAGCATAAAAAATATAATACACTTTTTACACGGGCTTTTTGGCGAAAGACGTATCGGGAAAAAAAGTTTTCGCCAAAGTGGTAAAAACATATCATGAAAGCTCAATATGGCGAAATTATTATTATCACCTTTGGCAAAATATAAATTTCTCGTTTATTTATGTAAAATCGGTTAAATTTAAGGTTATAATAAATTCTTGTATATTATTATTAGAAAAATTCAAAATTAACTAATTAATTAATTAGTAAGACTTATAGTCAGTTAATTCGTATTGTTGCCAAGTGTGGGTAATTTTTTCGTCGAAAGTTACTCAAAAACGACGGAATGAATTGTACCGTAAAACGTTCGAGACTTTTTTTCACTAAATGGGTTTTCTTTTTAATGCAAATTTTTTTCGCCGAAATGTTTTTCGCCAAACTGACCATCTTCCATAAAAATCAGGTAGAGTTATAGGCTTATTCCAAGAGTGACTGTCAATTCGGAAAAAGTCATGAGAAGATGAGACAACGTTCTCGCTTCTCACTCGCACAGTCAGAAAGAGAAAAAGAGTACCGTGTGATATCGACATGTCTTCCCGGCCAGCTAAGAGTTCAGATTATTGCACATGGCAAAGCAAAGCAAACAGATGTAAAAAATTCTGATTCACTAAAACTCTGATAACTTCCTGCCGCCTGCGATCGGGAAAATTTTGTTTTGTGTATTAAATAATATTTTAGAAAAGGCACTTATTAAAATATTCAAAACTTTCCCGATCGGTGGCGGCAGATGTTTAAATTGGATTTCAAAATTGCACTAAAAATGTATTTATTTTCGAAATTTTGAAATTCTGAAGCCATTATGGGCAAGGAATCTGCGAACAAGATCTTGTGTAAATTAGGACTATGAAGGAAACTATAACCGTTTCAAAGATATTAGGAGTTTTGGTTGGTTTTGGATTTTTTTCAGATGGTAATATTCCCATCAATTTAAAAAAAAACGGGAAAACACGTCAAGCTAAAGTTTTTGTTCTCATTCATCATGATTTTTAAAATAAATATTGTCGATTTTATGCCGGACCCGATTTGTTAGTTACTCTTGGAATAAGACTATACATACATGCAAACTAGTATTGATTTCGTGATAACTTCTTACCGCGTGATAAATACTTTTAGTAGTTTGTTTCTGAGTAGTAAATTTTCCATTACACCCACTAAACGGTAATGCCAGTTATTTATTACCAGTGCTGGTAGAGAACGTACAAATTCAGTTATGATTTAATACTGGTTTTCTACGAGTGTGTTATTTCTATCCTTTTCAGCATGATTGTGGTCTCGGACTATAAAATGGTGAAGGAAATATTTTCCGAGCCCGCATTTTCAGGGAGGATTGACTTTACAAACTTTGACTTCATCCTGGACGGCAAATTGCATGGAATCATCAACACGCAAGGCGAACATTGGGAAGAACTTCGGAGATTCACGCTCAGACAGTTGCGCGATTTCGGTTTTGGCAAAACCTCGATGGAGGACGGGATCATGTTGGAGGTGGCCGAGCTCATCGAGGGACTTAAAGGGATGGCCGGGCAGCCCGTGAGGGACGTTAAGGAGCGGCTCCAGATTGCCGTGGTTAACGCCTTGTGGGCCATTTGTACCGGGATTAGGCACAAACACAGCGATAAAGAGTTGATCGACATGACAGTAAAGACGAATGAGTAAGTCGTGCAAAATTGGGAGGTTAAATTTGCAAAAATTAATCGTTAATTCACTAATCTAAACTTTAAAGCTTAAATTAAATTAATTCAAATTTAGACTGTCATTCTATTTGCACAGATTTTGAAATTTATTTTTTTACATAATAAGGATTTAAAGGCTTTAAATTAAAGCTAAGGTATTCATAACTTGTAAATCAATTTACAAAGAAAAAAACTTACTAAATATTAGGCAAAATCGTAACATGTGTAACCCAATTTTTAATAACAAAAGATTACAAAATCTCGCAACCTCCGTAACTTGTTTTAAGATACGAAGAAATAATAATTATAGAATCCACGTAAAAATAATCAAAGTCTGTGGAATATTCTAATTATTTTTTTAGAACTAACTTTATTTAGTTTTAAATATTTGCTGCAACTTACATTTCAGTGATTACAAATATTTCTAATAATTTGCTAATTATTTAGTGTATAAATTAATTTTTCAATTTTTCTCTACTGATAAAAAAAGTGTATTTTTTTGCAAATATTTACAAGAAAAACTTTTTTATTTGAGTTCCTTATTTGTTTCCATAGCGCATTCCAGGGAATTTTGGAGGGTGGAGGGTTCATCATATTTATGCCCTGGCTGGTCAAACTCTTCCCCAAATTGGTTGGGTATGACAAATTGAAAACACAAATTTACAATTTGGCGAGTTATATGCGAAAACCAGTTACCGACCATAAAAAGACGAGACAGGATGGTTTCGACAGGTGAGAAATATCTATATTTTGCACCTTCACATAAAATTATAAATTGAAAAATGCTAATTTAAAAAAAAATAATTCATCAGAGATTTTACTGACGTGTTTCTAAAAGAAATCGCCAAAACTACGGACCCCAAGTCGGCATTTATGGGAAAACTGGGAGGTATTCACTTAAATATGTAATGAGCGTACTCTCGGCAGCGTTTTATTTCTCACAAGGGAAGGTTCCCGACTGCGCCGCGTCCCCAGGGTACCCACTATGTTTTTTAGAATCTACTAGGACCCTAAACGAAGGATCCATTCATATTTACGTGTTAATAGCATATTTGGCGCCATGACGTGGCGCCAAACTTAAAAATCAGTGTTTTCGACAAACTTCAAATCTCCATTACTTTTGCAGTTTCCGGGAGATTTTCAAAATTCTGGGCTCAAAATGATCACAAAGGTCAAAAGTTTAAGAAATAAATAAAAAACGAAATATTTTTATTTTTTTATATTTTTTTGGCGAATCCCCAAGCGTAAGAAAATTCCAAAATTTTGGCAAAAATTGAAGCAATAAATTTTATGAAAAATTTCATGGCATACGAAAGTTGAACTCTTTTTAATGATTTTTGGAAATTTTTTTGAAAATCCGCCCAGGATTTCAAAAGTTATTGCGGTTTCAAAAATAAAAACATACAAATTTGGCGAATTTGGCGCCACGTCATGGCGCCAAATATGCGATTAACACGTAAATTTGAATGGACCCTTCATCCAGGGTCCTAGTAGATTTTAGAAAACATAGTGGGTACCCTGGAGACGCGGAGCAGTCGGGAACCTTCCCTTGTCAGCCAAACTCATTTAGCAAACTTGCCAAGCTCTAAATATTTTGCAAAATATATAAGTTCGCAAATCTATTTCTAAAACTCATAATTTAATCTTGTTTCCACCAATTTCTGCAATTTGGCTGGTGATGAGTTTGTAAAATAATTCGGGAATTATGAACATACATTTGGGGAAAAAATTCCATAGTTTTCTATCAAAAGTTTCCCGCGATTTCGCATTGTTATATTCAATTTGCGAAATAAATATGCAAAATTTGACGAGAGTACGTTCGTTCAAATTTTTACGATAACGAGTACGGATTTGATTTTTTTCACAATTATTTAGAGGATAACCTTGTCGCAACTTTGGGCGATTTATATTTCGCCGGAACTGACACCACGTCCACAACGTTGGCCTGGCTGATGATGTACCTCAGCAAATTCCCCGATGTCCAGACCAAGTTTCACGAGGAAATTGAATCCGTTACGGGAAATAGTAGACCCACCACGATTTCAGACAGATCAAAGTAAGTAGAAGAATGGCTTGCAAATTTTTTTTCTTGGATTTGTAAACAATTTGTAAAATGTGACCCCTATGAAAAGCAAATGTTTACACTCTCAAATCCACATTAAGAATGAGATGAGGTGAAGTGTTGCACTTCACGGATTTGTTGAACTTTTGAAATTTTGCAGTTCATAAAACCATTATTTCTACATAATTTGTGCGATGGTTGGAATTTGTCAAATATTTTGCGTCAAAGATACCGAGAAATTGGTGATTTTTGTCACACAAAGAGAATGGAAGCCGAATTTGCTTCCTATGTTTGATTAAAGTTTAAACCCATTTTTAAATTCTTGCCTAAATTTTGTTTTTCAAATTCCAACAAATTGCGTAAGGTTGCACACATTGGCGTGAATGTTATAGTTCCAAAATGTACACAAAATCTGAGAGCTACACTTCACACCATCTCATTCCTAAATGATAACTCGAAAACGGGGCAAATTTACTCTGGATTGAGTCATTCTATTTGAGTATAAATAATTTTCTAAATTTAAAATTCAGACTGCATTTACTACTCAAATTGGTTGAATTACTTTTAACCGCCCTTTCCGTCTTATCCTTCCACCAGAATGCCTTATACGGAAGCCCTGCTGGCTGAAACGCTCCGATTCTCTACCATTACTCCGCAAGGGGTTCAACACAGGGCCCTCAAAGACCAAGAATATCACGGCTACTTCATCCCCAAGGACACGGTCATCACGGCAAACGTGTTTCACATCCACTCCGATCCAAAAGTGTGGGGAGATCCGGAGAACTTCAGACCCACCCGATTTTTAAGCCCGGACGGAAAAACGTTCCAGAGGCATGAAGCCCTCATCCCGTTTTCCACGGGGCGGAGGCAATGTCTCGGTGAAAGTTTGGCGCGCGACAACCTCTTCCTCTTTGCGACAAATATACTGCAAAGGTTTGAAATCGTGTTTGACAAAAATGGTCCAGATCATGGGTTCGAGCCTCAGTTGAATTTTCTATTAATGCCGAAACCCTTCAATGTGATTTTTAAGGATAGATTTGCCTAATAAATGAAAATCAACCTTTAATTGGAATTAGTCTTGTGTACTGTTGCGTTAGTCTGATTTAAATAAATTGAACTGAGGAAAATATCTATGACAAATTTTATGACAAATAATAAAAATTCATTATTAAACTCGGTATTGAAATGCATCCAGCTTAAATTAAAAACACATGCAAACTCAATTTAATTAGTCATTTTCGCCAAAATTTTAACATTGGAATGAAAAAGCGCTGCTTGTTCAGAATGAAATTGCCTTTGAAAAAAACATCTCTTAGAAAAGAGGTTTTACCTCGTTTCGCAATATTTTTTGGAGAATCGGTCAATCCCGATGTTTCCTACAAACGTCAGGTATGATCTTCCCTAAAATGTATACAATGAGTCATGCACGGTTCTTCATTGTTGGAAAAAGAAACTCACTAATTGGGAGGATTCACGCCATTTTCACAAATTGGGGATCCCAATCATGGAAATTTTGCAACCATGTTTGCATGGGTGTTATTTTTTTAATTTGGCTAGGAAATTTATGACCTAGGGCTTCGTGAAACTGATGTGTTTAATTTAAGGATTATTAAATAAATAAACTCGGAAGATGTTTTTTTTTGATAATTAATAAAAACTATTTAAGTTATAAATTTTTTTAGAGTTACACAGGAGTAACTTGAGTACCTAAAGTCCACTATGCATACTTATCTAATATAACTTGATAAGCGAGAAAAAATATATATGGCTTCAAATAATTTCATGATTATGCCGAATGCCATTTTGATGATATGATGCTAAATGTTGCGTTTGAGTGGCTAATCTCGTCTCAATTTCATTCTATCATTTCCAAAGTTCACTTTTAATTTTCATAATCTTTCCTCTGCGGTTCCAATTCTATTTCACCTTCCAGCTTCAATTGAATAATATATGTCATATTTCCTGTAGTTGGTTATGTCTGACTCTGATCTTGATATGAGAAGCAATGATACTGCGGTGTATACGTATGTATTGCAACCTTAGTCAGGTTTCGTACGACTGCAAGGAGTATTTTCTTGAATTCCTTCTGGCGAAAATCATAGTCGTTTATGCCTTTTCGCCAGAGGAAAATCAGGGCAGGTTAGAGATGGTCGTACGAAGTGACCTAGAGTACGAGATTTAGAATAGTGATGGTTTGGACAGCCGTGTTCATTAGGATCACGAGCTGGGATCATGATATCTACAGCATGGAGCAGGTAATGTATATAGCGTAAGCAGAGATAAATAGAGTGTAAGCAGATTGAAATCAGGAGAGTGTACTTTTAGACACGAACGAAGAAGGACGAGGTAGGGAACCATCAAGAAGATAAGTAGTTATAAGTTTCTCTTTAGAAATAGAATAAGTTTCACAAATTCATTAGTTTTAGGAATTATAAATAGTAACGTTAGCTCTCCCACATATTTAATAATATAGCGTTTTGGTGCAATCAATATTTTTCAGTCGATATTGGTTATAAATAAATATATTTATAAATTTCCTTAAAAGTGAACTAATTCTACAAAATTTATTGCATAAAAGTCACAAAATAAGGGACATCCACGAAAGTGGGTGTGGACAGGGACACGCAAACCCCAGATTAGGACAGGGGGCGTTACAGTATGTATGTATGTATTGGTGGGGTGACGATCCTGCCATTGTTAGGGGCCGTCCATAAATTACGTAACGCAAAAATCGTCATTTTTCAGACCCCCCCCCCCCTCCCCCTCGTAACGGCGTCGTAACGCTTCGCAACTACCCCCCTCCCCCCTCGTAACGTAACGCAAAATTTAATTTTCCCCAAAAAAAAGGAAGCAAACAAAAGACACAAAATTAAAGGGTGATTAATGGGTGGTACCACCATTTCTTGCCGTGATTTAATTAGTAAAAATATGGCACAACCTTAAAATGGGTTCACCCGGCTCCATATTTCCAAAACTAAGAGCGGAACGCAAAAACCAGCAAATTTTTTAACTTTAAAATAAAAAAAATGCACCATTCTCAATAGAGGAATGCAGGTCCGAGGATCGGGAATCCACCGATTCATTTTTCTAATTTTAAAGTTAAGGCTCCCTTGTATGATGGTTTTGAATTTAGTGTCTTAAGTATATTCAAATACCGATTTTGAAACATGTTCATCTCCGTGTGTATTAAAAAACCTCCAGTGTGCAGCCTTCATTTAGCCCGCGTCAGGGACATAGTCGTCTTCTATAGTTTTATCCGACTTGACCAACCCCCGCAGTGTTAAATTGTTTCTATATTATATTATTATATATATATTTGTACCCATTTGTTTTAAGTATTTACAAATCCTTCCCTTTGACTATCGAGACCAGTGGGACTCGCTTCACTAAAGTTTTGAACATCCAAAATTGTATTTGGAATGCATTATCAAAATACATTCGTAAAAGTCATTTTAGCTTTCACGCCAATTTCAGCTAAAAATTGCAACTTTCAAGCCGTATGGATATAGATACTATCCATACCGCTCACTAAGCGGTATGGGTAACCTCTAGGGTCACTCAGGTTACGCTTTGCTCACATATAGCTTCGTATTCTTTCATGAGAAGTTATTTAGTATCACCGTCAGTCTAGGGATAGGCAGTGATATCACCTCCTTGGGCCGTGAATTCACGGGTCTGAAAGACTGCAGATTCACGGCCTTCAAGATAGGAAAAGCCGTGAATTCACGGCCCCAAAAAAAAAATTTCTAGGGCCGTGAATCTGCAGCTTTTGAATTTTTAAGGCTGTGATTTCACGGCCTTCAAAATTTTTTATTTTGGTTTTTCGAAATTTTTAATTTTTCTGAAAACTTTAAAAATGAACGCATCGGACCAAAAAATAACATACATTTTGTTATGTATTTGATGCAATTTTGAAAAATATTCATTCGTGCGAAATAGGAAGTAATTCAATTTTAATTGAAAAAAGTGACATTTCGTAAGTAATGAGCACGCTGGCATGTTCGTCGTTATTACGAAACGGGATTTTATTGAAATTTTAAATTTTGCTTTGATATTGTAATCTACATGAACTTTTAACAGAAATGTGAAATGGGACCCCACCTAACCACACCCCCAACATGGGGTAAAGTGAGATTTTGGTCACAATCAACACATTATTAGCAAAAATAAAGTTTAAACTTGGGGGAGCTTCACCCCACTTGACCACACCCCCAATATGGGGCAAAGTGAGATTGTGGTCGGAATCAACATATTATGAACAAATATGAAGTTTTCAGTCGAACTTCAATCGGTCGGAGCTCAAAATGATGAAGATTTTCGAAATTTTCACAAAAAATAACATGTAAATCCGTTGCAATATGAATTTGTGCATTTGACCACCCCCACTCGAAAGGGGAGTGGTTGGAGCTCAAAATGAGGAAGATTTTGAAAGTTTTCATCATTTTGCACAATGCAGTAGAAGTAAAACCTAGTAGCGTACGTAACAAACTTAACTTAAGATAACCATTCACTTCAGTAACAGTCAACCGTGCTAACTGACTGTTCTGAGGCGAAATTCACGGCTCTGAAAATTAATTTTTTTGGGGCCGTGAATTCACGGCTTTTCCTATCTTGAAGGCCGTGAATCTGCAGTCTTTCAGGCCCGTGAATTCACGGCCCAAGGAGGTGATATCACTGCCTATCCCTAGACTGACCGTACCGAATTTCATCTTTTTACGACAATTTCTGAAAATCCATATGGGTTACCCCATAGCGTCACTCGACATAACAATTTTATTAATTTCACATCATTCTGTTCCATTATGACCCATAAGCATCCTCTACCAAATTTGAGCTCCATTCGGTGATTTTTAAGAATCGGTATTGGTCACACGCAAGTAGTGTTACCGATGAGTTGTAATTGAGTTGTAGATGAGTTAGCTATAAATTTACTATATCAGTAAATATTCACCAACTTCTGCAATATTGAAATTTGGAGCCTTTTTGAACTCCCAGATAAATTAGGGATTAAATGACATGAATTTCAAATAAATATCAAAATTGTCAATTGTCAATTTTTAGGCCAGCTTGTCCAAATCTCATTTACAACTGATTTACGACTCATTTATAACTCGTTTAAGTTTGGCTTCAAACTAAAAAGGGTACAATTTTTATATTTATTTGAAATTCGTAACATAACATCATAAATTTATCTGGGAGTACAAAAAGGTTTAAATTTCAATATTGCACTTGGTGAATATTTATAGCGAATTTGTGGCCAACTCATCCACAACTCATTTACAACTCATCGGCATTGCGTGACGCAATAGGGTCCTTCCAGCCAAAGATTTTTCTAATTTGAGTTCATATTATTCGATTATGAGCCATTAGTGACCTCTGTACCAAATTTCAGCTGTCTACGACAATTTTGAAATTTTGGTGCATAATACCCCACCCACCTAGGTGACCCTCACCGACCAACCAGTGCACCGATTTCGCCCACCTTCCAACGCGATTATTAACTTTGTCCAGTGTGCATGTGGTAAAAATTTCAAGTCAGTCGGGTCAGCCGTTTTAGCTCTATCGTGCCGGACAGACAGATAGACAGAAAGACAGACAGACATGGCCGTTCCGTTGGAACAACGAAACAACGATGCCGTTGGCATCGAACGAACAAACCTGGCACCCCCATTGTGGGTACCCTGCACGGAATTTTATTTAAATAATATTATCAAAATATTTATTTCTCGTTGAATTACGTTTCGATATGCAACCAAAAAGTGATATGTTTTATTTTTCAAAACTCACTATCGGGGGGCAAACCACGGGATCATTTTTGGAGCACTTTAGTTTGAAAGGCCAACTCTTGTGAATACATGTGTAAGTTCGTGCTGATCACGAATATGCGAAAAATGGTTGTAAACATTTCCCATTTTTTGAACGTTAAAAAATCTGCAAAATTTGTACATTTCCTAAAATTTCCAAATTTAAATCTCGTCGTCTTTCGAAATTTCAATAGAACAAAAAGTTTAACTATTTTACTGCCTGCAAAAAAATGTTGTAAAACGACAATTTTCTCTTGCAAGAAAAACTGCAACTAATTTTTTATGAAGTTGAAAATACCGTAATTACTCTATTTATAGCGGAGCTAAAA